CCCCCCCACTCCTCCTGGTCTGCAGACCAGGGAGAGGGGGGCGGGGCAAAGCAGAGCCAAGCCGCGGAGTGGATCCGCGTAACTCGGGGACTGCCTGTATGCAGTGAGGCGGCAGCAGAGACAAAGAAACAAAAAACACCCGGGACTGTGTGTTAAACCTACGCTACTAAAAACAAAGGGGAATCAGCTTTTTAAAATTCTGCACAGATAAAGTTTCAAAGCTGTATTAAGTCAGTGTTCATTTGTAAGCTTTTGAAAGAAGCAGCATAGCATTTTGTTCAGCGTTTCGAACCTCAGACAAAAGGGGCAAAAGTTTGTAGCCATTTGAAACATTGAGTGTTGCTTAAGTGCTAAAGAGGGTGGATTTAAATAAATGGTAGAGGGAGCAAAGACAAGATAAAGAATCGAGAATCTAGCCAATTCTGGCATCCTGCAGAAAGAGCCATTTTTTTTACACTACTGAAAACCATGCACGTGTCCACGTGAGTGGCAGCATTAGCTGCGTTAATTGTGTAGATGAAGTCGAAGTAGCTTGACTTGGCTTTTGGCGCTGTCTACACAGCAGCAAGTCCAAGGAAGAGCACTCTTTTGACTGGCTTCATTAGCGCAAGCAACTTCTTCTGCAGCTACTCTCCATGCTAAGAATCCCCAAAGGGAGAGAGAATAATCTTCCATTACAGGACCTCTCCTGAGCCTGAACCAAGGTTATTGAAGTTGAAAGGTGTCTTTCAGGCCAGTTCTGGTCTGGTTGGCTTGCTGCTGGCTGTGCCATTGACTTGGCAGGATGTGCGCAGCAACTGCCACCGATTTGCCCCCTTGCCTCATGCATACACCTCCTGCATCATTTGAAAGGTTTATTATGTCTAGTTTAGGCTGAGGTATGCGGAGCTGTCAGGTGATGCTGTTACCCTAGAAACTGAGATAGACAGTGATCTCATCGGCCCATTAAAATGACTGCTTTGAAACATGGGCATTCGTTTCTGTTAGTTTAATGGCCGTGTGTTATTTCAAGACCTGAAATCAGATTGTTTTGTGACCTCGGAGCTTCACTACAACAGTCTACACCATCGAGCACATTTGGACAGGTATTATTGAAATGTCATAGCGCTGGTGCGATTTTTGGTCGTCATCATCACATTTTGTTCATCTCTATGATCTCGGAGGCAAGTGCACGGATTACAACAGTCTTTGTTGGCTTGGCATGTGAACAGAGAGGATTGTTCTGATGACAGACTCAATTGTGCAGCAACTTCTCATGGTAGGGTCCCAAGTTAGATCTTGTAGAAGCTTAAATGGCAGTGGGCCCTCCGAGACTATAGGAAGTAAGGATGTGAAAGGGCAGGTAATTGACTAATCATATCGTTGATACAATTTGTATAGACTACACAAAGAATCGATAAGGAAAGGTGTTTTATCCCGGTCCAGGAGCTACTCCCGCTGTGGCTCTGCAGTTTAAACAGTAGGAACCGGGCGTGCAGGCAGCCTAGCTCCTACTACATTTAAACTGCAGAGCCGCAGCAGGGCCTGGTCCCGGACCCATCGGAATCAAATGCACCTCTCACAAACCTTTTCCCTTGTTCTTCACCATGATCGGCTATTTTCAGTACTTACTCCGGGACATCTGGTATGACATGTAGTCCCACAGCTATGCTGACAGGCACCTCTGGGTATGGTTCAGGGTCAAATGGGTTTGTCATATGATTGATGATGTAGTTAGTAAGAGCTGTAACATGCTCTTCCTCCTTCTTCAAGGCAGAAGCATGGACTTGTGTGTGTGGATTTATCTTCTCTACTTCTTGTTAGGCCACTTATTCCCCTCATAGCTTTTGCATATTTCTAACATGAAACTGTGTGTTATTTCCAGCATTAGTACTGACCGAGGCGTACGTGTCACTGAATTAAAAAGTTAGTTTATAGTCTAGTACTGAATGCACAGGCAATTGAAAAATGAAAACCTTTCTGCCAGGCATCTTATATGCTACAGGTTGAACCTCTCTAGTTTGGCACTCTCTGGTCCAGCAACGTCTATGGTCTGGCATGATTTTAGTTAGCTGGATGTCCATTTATGGTGGATGGGGCCAAGTTTCCTGCAGTCCCATAAAGATTGTTTACAGCTCCCAGTCCTGGCTCTAAGTGTTCTGTTCTGTTATTTAGCTCTAAATTACCCCAAATGTCTTCTAAGAGCCCAGTAAGCAGAGGAAGTGTTGGTAAAGCTGCTAGACAATACCGACATCCCGGGGTCTGGCAAATTCTCTGGTTCGGTACTGGTCAGGTCAGGTCCTGAGGGTACCAGACTAGAGAGCTTCAAACTGTACATAGTATGTACTGAGACAGACCCAAACCAGCTGGCTGCCACACACTAATGGAGAGAAGACATTCTGGGGCCTGGGTGAACAGTTTTCTCTTCCCTGAGTAAACAGCCTAGTGCAGCATAATCAGGCAGGCACCTGGGTCAATTAGAGCTGCTGGAAGTGCAGGCTAATCAGACACCTGCAGCCACTTAAGGCCTGTGGAGCTGCTTTAAATAAAGGGAAAAGGAGGGGGAATGGAAAGAGGGAAGGACAGGAAGACAGAAGTGTGATGTAGAAGAGCTGTGTGGGTGTGAGCTGAGGACGGACTAGCAGGTAGCAGAGGGAATGTGCTGGGAGGGATCCTTTGTGGAAGTGGCCCAGGGAAAAGCTGCTAGACTGGAATTGGCAGTAGCCCTGCCTGTTGCCGCTGGCAACAGAAGCCAGAGCAATGGGTGGACCCGGGGTCCCCCCGAGCCTTCCCCACACCATCACAAACTCTGCCCCGGAGCAGGGGAGACCAGGACTACGAAGGGGTTTCACCCAAACCTGTGATGAGGGTGGCTCAGTAGGCTGGGATCCTTGCCTTTAATAAGCCGTGTGGAGGGCCCCAGCGAGCCTGTGAGGCAAACACTAACCCCCAGGAGCGCGGGACCCACGGGACACAGCTGGCGCTTTGCCACAGTGTGTACTAATGGCTATACCTGGAATAGCATTGCATTAGGAGCTTGCATGCGTTTATACCTACCTGTTCTGCCATACGACGTATGGGCTGCTCAGTGGGAGGCTGATCTGGTGAACAAAGTTCAACTGAAAATGATAAAAGATGGTTACAGGCGCTCGTGAGCTGCTTGGACAACTTGGTTGTGGCCCCATTGCGTGTTGCGGGAGCTGTGTACAAAACTTCCTCATTGTAGGTCCCATTGTGTCACCTCACATACAGCTCAATGCCATACCCAGGGCTGTGGACAGCTGCCCCGCACCCAGTGATTTAAAGGGCCCAGAGATCCCAGCTGCTGCTATCGCAACAGCAGCAGGTGCCAGATCCCCGAGACTTTTAAATCACGTCTGGAGACCCACATGGCGCACTCCAGGCAGTGCTGAGAGCTGGGCGGAGGAGGCTAGCTGCCAGCCCCGCCCCTTCTTCCTGAGGCCCCTCCCTTTCCATGGAGGCCCAGTGCGAAACCCCCTCCCCTACCTTGCCCAGGGTTTGGTAATGTCCGTCGCCAGCCCTGCCTTACCTCAGCTAAACCTACATAAAACAAGCTTATGAATGAAAAGTGGTGGGGGTAAGTACATGTGAGGGGGTGGGTACATGTGAGGAGGGTGTACATGAGGGGGTAGGTAGATGTGAGGGGGGGGGTACATGTGAAGGGGTGGGTACATGTGAGGGTGTGGGTACACGTGAGGAGGGTGTACATGTGAAGAGAGTGTACATGAGGGGGTAGGTAGATGTGAGGGGGGGGGTACATGTGAAGGGGTGGGTACATGTGAGGGTGTGGGTACACGTGAGGAGGGTGTACATGTGAAGAGAGTGTACATGAGGGGGTAGGTAGATGTGAGGGGGGGGGTACATGTGAAGGGGTGGGTACATGTGAGGGTGTGGGTACACGTGAGGAGGGTGTACATGTGAAGAGAGTGTACATGAGGGGGTAGGTAGATGTGAGGGGGGGGGTACATGTGAAGGGGTGGGTACATGTGAGGGTGTGGGTACACGTGAGGAGGGTGTACATGTGAAGAGAGTGTACATGAGGGGGTAGGTAGATGTGAGGGGGGGGGTACATGTGAAGGGGTGGGTACATGTGAGGGTGTGGGTACACGTGAGGAGGGTGTACATGTGAAGAGAGTGTACATGAGGGGGTAGGTAGATGTGAGGGGGGGGGTACATGTGAAGGGGTGGGTACATGTGAGGGTGTGGGTACACGTGAGGAGGGTGTACATGTGAAGAGAGTGTACATGAGGGGGTAGGTAGATGTGAGGGGGGGGGTACATGTGAAGGGGTGGGTACATGTGAGGGGGTTGTACCTCCAGCTGCTGGGAAGAGGGGGTCCAGCGCGCTGAAGAACCAGAGCAGGTTGGAGGGAAGAAAGACCTTCCTGAAAGGCGATCTGAGATGCTATCTCGGACTCCACTCCCCTTCCTGTGCACATTCAGAAGCTCCCAGGAACTGCAGGGGGGAAGGGCAAGGAAGCCGGGTGCAACTGCCCAGCATGGGATCGGACCAGGATGCACCCTGGCAGGGAATTCAGCGGACATGGGAGCTGCAGTAGCTGTACATGGTCAGGACCGGGTTTCACGGATACTAATATCTTTTGCAGACAGGTGGCAGCAGGCGCCTACACATTCTTGCCGTCAGGCTCCCCCTCTCTGATCTCTACAACCAGAGGGGGCCAGGCAGCCACCTCTGGGCATGGCTGGAGCCCTGAGGTGGGGACCGCGAGGGAATCAATGAACGCTTCAGAGCCAGTTCTAGTCTAGCAATGCCCGGGGTCCCAATGCTCTGCTGGAGAGAAGGATGTGATTGGCCCTTGCTCTGTTCATCCCGTGCCCTCCCCCAGCCCTCTTGATAATCCCACCAGGAGCAGATCCACCAGGCAGCCACCTCTGGGCATGGCTGGAGCCCTGAGGTGGGGACCGCGAGGGAATCAATGAACGCTTCAGAGCCAGTTCTAGTCTAGCAATGCCCGGGGTCCCAATGCTCTGCTGGAGAGAAGGATGTGATTGGCCCTTGCTCTGTTCATCCCGTGCCCTCCCCCAGCCCTCTTGATAATCCCACCAGGAGCAGATCCAGGAGCTCCCAGGAACTGCAGGGGGGAAGGGCAAGGAAGCCGGGCGCAACTGCCCAGCATGGGATCGGACCAAGATGCACCCTGGCAGGCAGGCAGGCAGGCAGGCAGACACACACACACACACACACACACTGTTTCCCTACACACACACACACACACACACACACACACACACACACACTGTTTCCCTGCAGTGTCGACAGTCTCAGTGTCTGTCAGGGTCCAATCAAAAGCCAAGGGAGCAGGGGGTAAGGATTTGAAGGGCCAGAGAAGATGCAAGTGTCCAAAGGGGCTATAATTAGGACAATGGAGCCCTGAGCTAGGCCCAGCTTTAATAATCAGGGAAACCTAGGCTAGTTGGGTTTTGGAATAATCCCCCCAGGAAATGACGTTGGTGGCCTGGTATAAATGAGCCCCACCAGCTGTTAAAAACCACGTCAGCTATCCCGGCTCAGAGCAGAGCTATTTAACACAGGGCCCCCCTCTCTCCAGCACTTCTGGCCACCTTCACCCATTGCACAGCAGTAGCGGTACCGTCCGTCTGGGTGTCCTGTAGGCCCATGTTGACTGATGACTAGTGCTGGGTTTGCACTAGCTGCCCTGCCACCGTATAAGGGAATAACATTACCCGCCCCCAGCAGGGAGTACCCGCCCCCCATTGCAGGTAACTCCCACCCCCAGCTCTCCCCTCCCCCCTGGCAGAGTCCTCTTTCTGGGAACTGGAGAGAGGGGACTGACCGCTGTGTTGGGTGATGCTCTTGAAAGGGTCTAATCTCGGGGCATTTACACTGTGCCCATCACCGGGGTCTGTTGGTCCCCATTCGGTGTCTCACTGTTCGGTGCCGGCAACAGGTCTGAAAAAAGCCAGGTCTGGCTATTACGACTCCGTTTCAGCACCACATGGCCCCACGTGCCCACTTGCTTTGCAGAGCCAGGCCGAGAGCAACCCCCCCGCAATAGAGCTGCTGTCACACTGCTGTTTCTTTCTGCAGACTCCACTGGCATACCAGTCAGCCAGCAGCCCTGAAGAGAAGCAACCGAGTGCTGGAACATCCGTGCAGGAAGGTAGGACAATGAGACGCTTTGTGCTGGGACAACACCAGGTATTAATTGATCACAGCTCCTGCCTGCCTAGTGCAGCGGTGCTCCGGGTCTATGCACAGCTCCTCCTAGGTCCAGTCTGGAGTTCTCAGTCTCTATGGATAAATAACATAGCTGGATAGTCATCACAGCCGGGGTGTCTCGGGGCCTCGTGGATCAGTTCAGCTCCATAGGGGAGCTCGTACGATGCCTGGGGTGTCTGCCTCGCTTATCTGGATGCTGCAAATCCCTTGCCGGTGGGAGCGTGATGGGGTTAGCCACCTGGCTGATTCCTGCGCAGGGTTAAGGTGCTGCTGGGAGCCTAGTCAGCCCTGCCTGTCACACCGGTAGGGCGGGTGAGGCGGGGAGGGGTGGGGCGAAGGGGAATGCTGCTCAGCAGGTGGCTGGCTGGGGAGGAGCACAGAGCAACAGGCCTGTCCTATAGGGAGAGAAGGTGGGCAGGCGTTCAGAGCTGCTCCTAGGTCTGCTGCCAGCTCCACTCTCCCGGGAGGGATTGTAGGCCCTGACAAGGGCCTATTCAGATATACCTGGGACTTGCTGAGGCTTTTGAGCTGGGCCATGGCAGAGGAAACAGGAGGACAGAGAGCACCCAGGTGGCAGCTGCAGGAATAACCCAGCGGGGATGAGATTTAAGCCCAGACAGTTTAGGGGCACAGACCCCTTTGTTTAGTGACTTGGGTCTCTGCTACTCCAGAAGGGAATTGAACCTGTGTTGTGAGCTCTTAAAGGAGCAATGGTTGGGGTAATGGGTTCCTGAAGTAGGCCCAACTTTAACAATCAGGGGAATTAAGGCTGGGTACCAGAGACTTTTGGAATAATCCCCCTAGGGAAACAACGTTGGCGCCTTTATGTAAATGGATCCTACCAGCTGATACCATTTTAAATAGTAAAATGCTGGCTCAGAGCAGGGAAAGCCCCCAGAAAGCATTGGAGACACTGTTGGGGAAACTGAGGCAGAGAGCCCGCAGCACCATGTCTCACCTGCAGGAGGCATTGGCCCAGCCACAGGGAGTCCTTCATACGTTAAAAGAAAACAGGTCTCTAGTGCCTTGTGATAGGGATGTTAAATGGTGTTTGATGAGCTAATCGACTAATCGATGGAATTTCTATTGACTAGTCGATTAGTTGATAAGGGGGGGGGAACTGCAGTGCCACAGCGAGGTTAGCGCCCGGGGCTGGAAACTCACCCTGTTGCGGCTCTGCCTTTTAAATGTATTAAGAGCCATCAGGTTCTTAATACATTTAAAAGGCTGAAGTGCAGTGTATGGGGGGGGACTGGATGCGAGCTGAGAATCAGCTGATTCCTGACTTGCGTCCATTTCCCCTGCTATACCCTTGTGTCCGTCTCTGCCCCCCCTCCGGAACCGGCTTTTAAGTTGATAGAGGCAGCAAGGTGGGGGGAACGACTATCCAATAAGCATGTGCGTAGCCCTCTGCATGTGGAGGATCCCCGCAACAACAGAGCCCACTTTATTTTATTTCCATTTCTTTGCTGCATAAGGCAGTTCAATCTGCCTGCGTGGGATGAAGGGCAGAGTTTGCACTAGTCCAGTGATGGGCAGCGAAGGCCAGCAAGGGGGCTGTATGAGTGGCCTCCATCATCTCAGAGGCACACCAGATTGTGATAATCAAGCCGGACTCCTGGGATGGGGCAGTTTTGTTCCCTGAACTAGTGTCCCTAGAATTTGCAGGCGTGCGGATGGAACCGCAGCAGCGCTGTGACTGGATGCAGTGGGAGCGCACGGCAGTCAGCAGTTGTGTGCAATCAGCACACACCTCACTTCACGCGTGTGTTGCTTTAGTAACACTGGCAGGAAACAAACTACACAGATAGGAACCGGTGGAATCTGGCAACGCTGCGCGTGGATGAGAACAAGCCAAAAGTCTCATGGGCCGCACATAGAACTCCCATGTGCACTAGTCTCTCCCAAGCCGGCCCGAGACTGGTCACTATTGGAAGGGGAGGCTTTTCTTTCCAAAGAGATACAATGTGAAATTGCCTAATGTCTCCTGAGTGCCAGGGGCTGCCCTAGACTAGCTGCCAGCAACTGGCGCCCTAGGCAAACCATGCAATCGGCACCCCCACCTCCAAACCCCTCAATGATATTGCGCCACCATTTGGCGCCCCATTTAACTTGGGGCCCTGGGCGACTGCCTAGTTCACTTATATGGACGGACCGCCCCTGCTGGGTGCCAGCCAGGGCGTGGGACTGTCTCGGCCGGGGGTTGTTTGGATCTGTTTATTCCTGGCTGACATGGAAGCCAGATGGAATTGCTAATGTCCCCTGTGAGCGAGCCCTGTATCCCAAGTGCAGGCTGGATATGTACTCTGACTCTGAGCAGGGCCTGCGGAGCGGGATTTATAGTGTGTGTGTGTGTGTGTGTGTGTGTGTGTGTGTGGTTTGGCAAGCACCTGTCCCCTTGCATGGCTAATCTTGTGTAATCCCTTTATAAAGTCACTATAAACATTTGGCTTCCTCAGGGGCTTTGTTTGCATTTCAGTGTAATTAGAATTTCCTCCAAATGAACTGGGAAGGGGCCAGGGGGAGGGGAGGTGAAGAGACGCCTTTGATGGCATCCAGCCTCTGGCCTCTGAAGGTGCTACCCAGACCCTGTGTGAGTGCTGCCTGCTTCTGCTGGAGCCGGGAGACGCTGCTTTGAGGGAAGGAGCAGCAGCCAAAGTGAGAGCTCTGTGCGGCCTCTTCAGAATGGCCTTGTGGTGCAGGCCAGAGCTTGGAAATGGGTTTGTTCCTGGTGAAAAGTGCCCACTGGGCAGCCCTGGAGAATGGAGCCCTCTCTGTGCACCCGGCATGGGCCACCTGCCTCCGCTCCACCAAGACCACCTGTGTCAATAAGCAGGACTTTGGGCTCCTGGGCCGTCACTCTCTGGCCTCACCTAAAGGCTGCCGGCAAAGGCAGCCTTGGTGCCAGTTGTGCCCGTCAGCGGCTCTAGGGTTTGTGACCCGTGGCTGCTCAGAATTGGCCTGAAAGCTGTGGACTTCTGTCGCGATGTTCAGTGAAGTGCCCACTGATGGAGAGGTGGTGAAAGTACGTGCATCCCAGTCAGGTGGTGAAAGTACGTGCATGCCAGTCAGTCAGCAGCTTCCTTCCTGCCTTGCCCGCTAGCCTGGGCACAATGAGTGAGTTGCTTGCTGAGGGAAAGGCTAAAGAGAACCTGGGCTGAGGAGAGGGCTGTCAGTGGTTTTCCCTCAGCAAGGGCGTAGTCCTTGGGTCACCTGACACCCTCCAGAGTCCCAAGGGTTGAGGTTTCAGAGGCAGGTGGAGAATACCTCAATCTCAGGAGCAGGGCAGGCCTGGTGTGTGTCACCCCGCTCGGGGAAGGAGTTTCACTGCCCACGGGGCTGTCCTGAGCTGGACCTTCCTGAAATGACCTTGGGAGATGACACAGCAGCGCGAGACCCTTGGTGCAGCTGCTGGGGCTGAAGTTGGCCCCAGGGACCTTCCCCGGCAGTGCGCCAGAGGGAGTCAGCACCAGGAATTGGCACAGGGCAGCGCTCAGGAGAGGAAAGGGAAGCCGGACAGGGTGTGGGGAAGAGAAGGAAAACCCCAGGACTCTTTCCACTCAGGCCTGCATTCTTCAGGCTTGGGAGCACCCTCCCCCCTCATTTTGGGGCCCTCTGTATTTCGTGGCATCAGGGCCCCCATTTCCTCATGGCCCACCCTATAGCTCCAAGTTCTGCTGCATGGAGGCAGGCATCCTGCCTCCCCTCCATGTGCCCTGTCTGGGAGCCATTCTCCTGCCCCCACGCCACGTCCAGCCACAGGGGCCTGAAACCCAGCTGGGTGTCTCGTGTGGCAGGACGGAGGGGCAGCACCCAGGGGCACTAACCAGCCCATGACTCATCCTTGCCCTGTCGGTTATTGGATGTACCTTGCGCCTTTTCATTTCACGTGGGCTTGGAGCTCTGCTCCCCAAGGGTCGGGGGATCTGAATCTGGTGCCTATTGCTGCTGTCTGCCGGTGCTCAGAGCAAAGAGACAAACTCCCCCTCCCCGCCCTCCGTCTGGCCCATCTCCGCTGCTGCTCGTCCCCTCAGGGCTGGGTGCTTCAGGGTCAGGCTAGATGGGAAGCCAGGGGAGCAGGGGAAGGTGCCGGCTTCCATGTATTTGTCCTTAGTGAGGAAGTGCTTGGCAAATAAGTGCCTCTTCCACCCTGCTCCTGGCGGGCTGCGTTAGGGATGGAGGAGGCTGGCGCCGTTGTAGCGAGAGGCCAGGTCTGTGAGGCTGGGGCGTGTACGGGGGAAGCTTTAAAAACAAGCCTGATGAATATCACTTCATAGCAGACTCTCTACGTTTTCCCATCTATGTGCAGAATAAATTGTATGTGCACCAAGGCATGTGCAGATGTGCACCACTAATAGAAACACATGCTGCTGGCTGCGGTCAGCTGTGCGCACTCTGCCAATCAGCTAGATGGCATCTGAATCTCTCCTGGGAGGCCGCCCACATGCTAATCCACGCCAGTAGCCACCATGCGCAAAGGTGCCCGGCACAAGCCAGGGGCGTGTCTATGCACCTGGCACCCAGATCCCTGTGTCCGTAGCACTTCCTCTTCCTGGCCCTGATGCACCAGAGCAAAGCAGCTGGGAGCGAAGTGGAGGGAAAGGCCAGGAGACTGGTGGCTGGTGGTGGGTCACAGTTAGTTGCCCAAATGTTCATTTGAATATCCTTCTAAATGAAGCTCTGTCGCATGAGCCATCCTCCTCCCAGGAGCGTGAGAGAGGGGTTCCCTTCTCCCAGCCTCTGGCCAAGTGCATGGCTGCAGCAAGGAGAAACGCTAAGCAGCTGTGGAAGTCGGAGCCCTTGGCGCGTCTGCTTGGCGTCCCCTGTTCAATGTGGCATGGTGGGTCCTGGAGATGGAACAAGCCTTGTCACGTCATCCAGCCCATCTGCCCCAGGCCAGCGTAGCTCTCTTCCTGCCAATGTAATAACACGTGTCGCTCC